TCTGGTTTGAACGAGCTGCCAGAAACTTTCCCCAAACACCTGTGAGGTGAGGAAGAATCCCTGAATTCCAGGGGTTTGTGCTTGGGTTTCTCAGGTGCAGTGTGAGATCTCCCAAACCCAGAACTGATGGTGGGAACCCATAAAATTCCTACTTAGAGAGGGCTCCAAGGGTAGATCCTCTTTGGAATATCCCATACTGGATCATACTCATCTAAAGTGGATTTTCCAGTTCAGGACGGGACTCCTGGGCAAAACCTGGGATCAGGAGGGCGTTTTCTATCTTAGGAAAAGGAAATTAATTCTCCCGTGAGCATCTGGGTGAGCTGCAGGATTTGACAACCCAGGTGGGCTGGCAAGAGATTGGAACCTTCCAGCAAAACCAGGCAGTCCTTCCTGGAAGTGGGAATGAGTTTGATCTGAAAAAAAACCCTGTAATATTTATTACAGGTGTGCCAAGAGGTTTGGTGGGTACCCCCAGCTGGGACTGAAGCAAACCTCTCTGTTTTCAGGGATTTGCTGTCAGAATTCCATCCGGTTATTAGGGATGTTCCCTGGCTCCTGCAAATGCACCGAAAACTTTAATTTCTTTTTGATGTGCAGGTGAGGATGTTCTTAAATCTGAATTTTGTGGCAGAGGGAGAAGCTGTTGGCTCTGGTGATCTCACGAGCTGAAGTTGTTTCCCTTTAAGGATTTCTCTAACTCAATATCGGGTGCCATAAAAAGCATGACAAGGAGTGAATAAAAAACAAGAAACCCCCTTAGACAAACAGCCCTTAATTTGCAGTTGTGGCTCTGGTGGTGAGTTTAGCAGAATATTTCAGTGCTCAGGGACAGAGTGGGACAGCCCTGGCTGCCAGCACGGGAGGATTTCCCAGCACTGCATGGCTTGGAGCACATCTGGAAAATCCTGTGTGTGGCTCTGTGCCTCAGGAGACCCTTGGAAGGTGTAGGAGGGGATAACACTCTGGGATGGAGATCCTGAGGGATCTGCACATCTCCCACCAGCACTGCTGAGCCTGGGGCTCACCCTCCTGCTGCCCTGGATGCTCCTGCTGCCTCTGCATCCCTCAGGGACAGCAAATCCAGCTCCTCCTGGGGGTGTTTGCTCTGCCCTGCTAATGAGCACTTAATGAGCACACACCCCACACTCCTGCCCTTTTTTTTTCTTTTTTTCCCCCCTGGCTTTGTCCTGTGTGCCATAAACGATCAGGAGCAGTGGGTGAACTCCCTGCCTTGCTGGCAGAAGTGTCAGGAGGGCAAAGGTTGGGCTTTGTTTGTTGACTCAGGGCCGTGGTTGCCATGCAGAACCCCCTCCTTGGCCAGGAGCCTGCCCCTCCTCGGGGAGGGGAGCAGGTTTGTGCCTTCAGGGCGCCCCATTCCACTGGGGGATGGGGATGGGGGTGCCCCACAAGGGGTGCATGGGGCTGGAGAGGCTCCTGCTGCTGACAGGGCTGAAAATGCACAAAATGCCTTTTTTAAAGCGGTGGAAAGCCGGAGGCGGGCTGGATTTGGTTCTCCATGTGCCTCAGGACCTGAGGGCACTTCTCCCTCCATCCTGGACGGGATGCTCTGGTTTTATGGCCGTGTCCCTCTGGGGGAGCGAGGGGAGCAGGGGACCTCAGGGCTTTCCCTTTCTGCTGCTTCTCCATCCTTGAACCTTTTTGTTGACCTTGCTGGCTTCTTGCTGTACCACAGACTTACAGCTGAGAGGAAAGAACAGGCTCTGGGATGAAACCCGGGGTCAGGCTGAGGAGTTTTAGGGCTGGGAGCTCCTTCCCTGCTGGGGAGGGAGCGGGTGTGTATCAGCAGGACTGCGGCTGTAGCCCCACAAGGATTTTGGGGCACAGTGTCAGGCTCCGGGTCTGAAATGAAGCTCCACCAGTTGGGTTTTTGGACACAGAGCCTTGCAGGGTCCCTTTTTTGCCATCCTGGCTCAGATCCCTGCTGCCAGCAGAGAGGAATGCTCTGTCCAAAGGGAGGGGCAGCTGCAGTGTGCCCGCAGGGCAATGCTGCTGGAGGGTGCCACCACCCCTGCCACTGCTCCTGTTGACTTTGGCTGCCTCTCCCGGCCTCCCCGGGGACATTTACTGCCAGCTGAGGCCTCAGCTGAGCACACACTGAGGTTTCTGCAAACCTGGGATGCCTTGGGAAGGCAGGGATTCATTCAAAGGATCTCCTCCACGGGTCCACCTTGGGCAGCACCAGAGCCCAGCCAGGGCTGCACCCAAGATGAACCAAAATGGTCCCAAAATGCACAACAGCTCATGGGGGCTCTCACTTTTATAAGTGCTGGTTCATTTGCATATTGGAGTTAGTTGTCTAATTGCAGCTTTAGCCCAGGCAGTCCCATTCTGCTTGTTTTTCTCTCTTCAAGCCACCATTTGTTGGAATTCATGAAACAGAAGCCCGAGTCCCTCAGAGAGAGAAAAGAATGCAGGGTTTGAATTAGAACCTCTAGAGAAGCTGAAATACATTAAGCCTCACAGACATGAAGTAGAAGTGCAAGTTTTAGTTTTAAGTAAATAGAAATGTATCTTAAGTGCCTTAAGAGACTGTGTTAGCCAGTAAAAGGCCCTAAAGCCTAGTTTAACTTAGCTCCAGACATAACAAAAACATAGCAGAACATTGCTTGGGTTTCTAGATAGAATAGATAGAACTATTTGTGTAAATAGATAAAATTATATATGCAGATTTTAGGTAAGAAAACAGATGGTACCATTTACAGAAATAGATAATTTTACATTTTGTGTGAGATTTTGTGCGAGAACTGACCCTGCTTTTCGTACATTAGAATTAAGTTTGTATTGGTGTAGAAAGAATGTTTTAGAATCGTGTTTTTAGCTGATTGGATGATTTATTAATAAAACACCCCTGTAATGGGGTGCAGATGATGATGATGAAGGGAAAAAAAAAAAAGAGTGGCTGCTGCTTTTGCTGCTTCTGCTCAAAACATCAGGACTCTATGCCAGAAAGCTTTTAGCACAGACTTTAATAATTACTCTGAACTGATGTATCCATGCAATAAACAACTTTACTGCAACCAACAACTGCTCCTGCCTCTTTGAAAACCCAAGGCCCACAACAACTGTTTATACTTTTTGGGCCTGGAGCTTGGAACAGTTGTCCTTTGTCAAGCTGGAAAAAGAATTATTTTGTCTGCCTACCCTGTGCAGGGAACTTGCTAACACCTAATATGAAGCTCAGACCCACACACTAAAGCAGCTCAGAATCTGAAAAATATAAAAGCTAAAACCTGAGGTATCACCCTGTTTCCTCATCTGACTTGACTCGCCATGGCTGAAATGTGAAATGGAGTTTTTGGCCCCTGGGCTGTGTTTTTGGGGGTAGACACCAGGTTCTGGTGGTGTTTTGGCTCACGTGCAGCGCAGCCCTGCAGAGCAGAGCCAAACCCTGGTGAAGTCACTGGGGCTCTGTGCTGTTCTCGTGGTCTGTGGATCAGAACGAGTTGAGTTTGAGAAACAATTGCAGGGGCCTCCAGCTCTTTGGTGGTGGGGAGAGCTGCCTTTTATCCACCACAGCAATGTGGAATTTGTGTGCTCCTGGATGTGCCATTGCACGGGGTGCAGAGAGGCAGAAACTTCTCATGTGGGATTCTTTGTTGAAACAGTTCCAAAGCGTTTCTGTGTTGGAAAACATCCCCTCATTGCTCTGGGATTCTGTTTTAAAAGAGTTGCACAGCGTTTCTGTGCTGGAAAACAGCCCCTCACATCAGGAGAGGGTCTGAGGCCACTGCTGGGGCCTCACCACCCCAAAGCTGATCCCTCCCAGGCCCTTCTGGAGCAATCTGTGTCCTGTAGCAGGTGAGCAGAGCCTGGCTGGAGGAGCTGCTCACCAGGAGCTTTATCTGGAAGCTTCAATCCGTGCCCTGAGCCCAGACTGGGGAGCTCCTGAGAGATCGGGGTGATGGATCAGGGGTGATGGAACACCAGGAGTGATGGAATAAAGGCTGCGGAGCGGCTGGAAGGAGCAGCAAGGGAGGGGTGGAAGCGCTGGATGGGCATGGGGAGAGGGCACAGGTGGTGATTTCCAGGTGGGCAGCAGGGCTGGAGGCGAGGCAGGGCAGCAGCAGCCAGGCTCGGCGTGGCAGGACGGAGCGCCAGCATCACCCGCAGGGGACAGGCAGGGGGAACCTCCCCCGCCCTGGGCACATCCCTGCGGGACCGAACGCCATCAGATCCCCTGGGTGATGAGGCTCCGACGGGAATCCCTCCCCGGGAACCCCGGCGGGGATGCCCCGGGGGCAGGGAGGGACTGCCCCCGCCCCGAGCATCCCCCGCGGGGCGTGCGGAGCCCCCAGCCCGCGGGGAAGGAAGGACGAGCCCCGTCCGGCTGCGGCTTCCTCCGCAAGCCCTGCCTCGGTGCACGGTGCCCGCCCCCGGCCCTCCCCCGGCTCTTCCCCGCTCCGAGCGCCCCGAGCCGAGCCGAGCCGAGCCGCGCCGCCGCCGGGGCAGCCCCCTGAGCGCAACAGTTGCCCCCAAGCCGCGGCCGCCGCCCCTCGCACCCGGGAGACCCCCGGGGGACCCCCCGGCACCGGCAGGAGGCTGCGCGGAGGAGCCGCCGCCGCTTCGCCCAGGCAGCGCCCGGAGCCGCCCGGATCCGGCGGTTCTGCCTCTCCCGGCGATGGAGCGGAGCGGAGGGGCCGAGCCGCGGCTCCTCCCGGCCGGCCGCAGCCGCCCCATCCTCCGCCTGCGGGAGCGGAGCCGCCCCGCCGCCCGGCAGCGAGCCCTCCTCTGCTGAGCCCCTCCCGCATCCCCGACCCTCCGGGCATCCTCGGAGCCTCCCGCGCATCCCAGCCCTCCGTGCATCCCCGGACCCTCCGTGCATCCCCGGACCCCTCTGCATCCCCGGACCCTCCGTGCATCCTCGGACCCTCCGTGCATCCCCGGACCCTCCGTGCATCCCCGACCCCTTTGTGCTGTGCCCCCCCAGCCTCGCCACCCCCTTGCATGCGGCCCCCGGGCTGCGGGAGCCGCTGGCCATGGGCACGAAGCAGACCAAGGGCTGCCAGCCGGGCAGCGCCGGGGAGAGCCCCCCGGGCCACCACCGCAAGAAGGTGTCCCCCAGGGAAAGGGGGGATTTCCTGGCTTCCCTCGTGGCGAAGTCCGGCGAGAAGTTCGGGAAGGGCGCTGGCCCCAGCTTGCCCCCGTACCACCGGCGGATCTGCATGATCCAGGACATGCTGCTGCTGGTCAAGCAGGGCAAGCAGGAGGAGGCCACCGAGCTGCTGAAGAGCCTGCGGCAGGTGAGGATGGGCGGCTTGCTCCGGGGGAAGGGGGCTGCGCTGGGGGAAAAGCTGAAGAGCGACTCGTGCCGCTTTCGGTGGCGAACAGGGGCCACGCTCCGCTTTTGCCTCGCGTGGCGCAATTTTGGGGAAGTGGCCGAGGAGCTGCAGGGTGGTCAGGGTGTGAGAGAGGGGGAAATACCCCCAGGGAGGTGCTTGGCGTTGTCTACACGCTGCCGGGTGTATTTTTCCCCCCTTCCCTTCCTTGCTGGCGCTGGTGGCTCTGGGGTTTGCAGCCTACTCCAAGTGGTTCCCACTCAACTTTCCAAAAGTTTGGCGTTTCAAGCAGCTCCGTAAAAGCGCCGAGGCAATTGGAGTTGGCAGCTTTCGAGAATCAGCTCTTTTCTTGCTGGCTCAGAGATACCCAGAGCTGGCAGCGTTGCTTTTTTATCTTTTTGGCGCACAATCGCCTGGTGGAGTTTTTGCTGGTGTCGACTGGGGCTGGGAGAAACGAGACGCTCTGGGGCAGTGCGGAATTAATCGTAGGGAGCCCGAGACCTTTTGCCTTGAAAAATCTGTTTGAGCTGGGCATTAGCTGGGAAGCAACAGAACGGAAAGTTGCTGTGAGCAAACAGAAAAGCAAATTAGCATTTAATCTTTCCTGCTGATAGGTGCTGATAAAAACACCCGAGTGCTCTGGGCGTTTTCAAGGCTCTGGGGGTGCGCAGGGCTTTGAGGAGCAGCGAGTTTTCCATGCAAACCTAAAGCAGATCCATCTCCCAGCTCGGGTTTTCTCCCTCGGCTGTTCGGTGTAACCAGTTCTGCCAGCCGGGGAAAAGCTGTTCAGATCTCTGCTGGGCATGGGGAGCGGCTCTCTTGCCCTATAGTCTGTCCGTGGGACTGGTCCGGTCCGGTTTTCTTTTGGGATTTTGTGTTTGGGGTTTGTTGCTAGCGTGGTGTTTTTGTTTTTTTTTTTTTTTTTTCCTTGTTTGTTTTCCTTCCCCCCCCATTTTCTTGTCCAGGTAACTTTTCAGTGTTGTTTGGGGCACGTCCCCATTCAGCCCACTTCCATTTCTCCCTCTGCCCTGCAGGTTTAGGGTTATCTTTAGAGCAACCCAGCTGAGAAATCTGAACTGTTCCATGTGATTTGTGGGGTTTTTTTAATAGAAAACTCTCCCCACTTTCCACTTAGGGATAAAATGCTTTTTCTGAGATGAGTGAGCTGCCTCTCTGGGGGTTGGGGGTGGAATTCCTTGGGACAGTGACCTCTCCGTTTGGGATCTGTGGGACGGTGGGGGTTGAGTTGGGCAGCAGATCAGAGCCCAAATGTTGCACCCTCTCAGCCACGCCAAACCTTTATCGTTGTCGCAGCCCATTGGAGCTGGCAGAAGGGCAGGTGCTAATTTTAGAGGGTGTTTATCTCAAACACCTCCCCAAAAAATAAATCTTGGGGCCTGCAAAGTGCCAGGAATCACTCTCACATTCTCCCTGGCTCCAGACTGGTTTTTCTCAGCGATGCTCAGGTCTGTCCTCACTCTCTGTGCAGAGTGAGGGAGCTGGGATGTATCACCGTGGATGCCCTAATGACAAACCTGACCACGGGGGAACCCCTCATCTGGCTGGAGATTGGGGAGAAAAAGCTACAAATGAATCTTAAACTGCTGGGGGAAGCAAGGAACCTGTTACAGTCAGGTGCATTGCTGGCAGTGAGTGTCTCTGAAGAGCTTGCTCTGATAAAATATATCTTAGAGTGTCAAAATAGAGAACTCTTTGTCCTAGATACTGTAATAGACTCCAAGCAGGTTTTTAATGAGGTGATATTAATCCCTGCCTCCAGGGAGGGAATGTGGGATGCCTCACTGAACAAATCCTGCCTGTTCTGGGGTTTTCCAGCAGCTGGATTTTGGGAGGGGATGTTTTAGGAGGGCACTGGTGGCTCCAAGGGACCACTTGGGTTGTTCCCACTCCAGCAGGAGCCTTCCAGAGCTGAGCTCTTGGAGAGTCTCAGCCTGAAAGGGAGGATTTGGGGAGAAGGATGAGCTTCCCCCTGTGGGAGGGGGTGGATGGATGAGCCTGGTGGGGCAGAAATTTTCCCTGAGCCATTTTTAGGGCGTCCCCTGCAGAGGAACTGTGCTCCATGTAGGGGCTGCTGTAAAACTGGGCATTTTCCAGCAAAACTGGGGTTTTCCCAGCAAACCCAGTGACCTGGTGCCCAGCTCTCAGCAGAGATTTTTTAAATCCCAGGCATTTAGGTCACTGGAGCCTTTCCACTGACTTCAGCGGGCTTTGAAGCCAGCCCAGCGTGCTGCTCAGGGGTGGGTGACAGCATCCCCTGCCTTTGGAGGGGCTCCACAATTTTTTTTTTTTTTTTGGAGCAGGATGAGCACATGGCCAGAGCACAAAATCTTTTAGGTCAACATGCCATAACACCCTGTCCTACCCACCCACTGCAGGGCAAGGTTTGGGGGGCTTTTTTTGCTCCAACAAAAAGTGTGTTTGATAATCAGGGCAGGGCTGCAATCCTGTATTTTAAGCCTGCTGGAGTAGGTCCTGCCCTTCCAGTCTCACCACTGGCACCAATGTCCACTGTGGCCTTTGCATTCCACCCATTTATTTAGAGTTTATTTAGAATTTATCCATCCTTCTCCCTCCCCTGAGGTGGGAGCAAGGCTGCTTTCCTTACAGGCTCCTCTAAGGATTAATATGTGTTTCTGGGAATGCCTGGAGGTTGCAAACAACTATAAAATACTGAGATACAAACTGATTTTTTTTTTTTTTTGCTTGTTTAAAAATACAAGAAGTATGGAGAGCAGACACAGTTTGCTTCCTCAGAGAGGTCAGCAGTGGTCTCTGCTGTGGAGGCAACTTGATCCCACTGCCTGCCCCCAAAATAACACTCCTGTTATTCCTGCTGCCAGCAGCCATTCCAAAGGGTTTGTGCTCCTCTGGCACAGCCAGGCTAATTTAAAATTGAGTTCCTGAGACATAGAACACTCATTTCTTTTTCCTGCTTTCTGTTCTGGAGCCCAAACCCCACACTGCAAAATTCAAATGCCCCAAATCCCAACAAGTGCCTGCTGCTCTCCTTGGCTGAGGTGTTTTCCCTCATGGTGCTGCAGGGAGGATGCCTTTGGCATAAATCCAGTGGAAAGACACTGAAATAATTAACATTTGATTTAGGCTCGTGTTTGGGGATGCCAAAGGCTTGCTAGTCACCTGGAGGGAGCTGCTGGCCTTCCATGGAAGTCATTCCTGCATGGAATAACTTGGAATTTGCCTGGCATGATGTGAATTCCCAGGTTTACCTGGCAGCATCTTCTCTGCTTTCCAACAAGGAGAGGCTAAAAAATGAATTTATTCAAGGTGTCCAGCACTTGGGAGATGGGAATCCATTCTCAGACCCTCACTCCATCCAGCTGGGAGAATCCCAGCTCCACTATTCCCAGTACCACCAGTTGCAGAGCAGGATAGGTTTGAATGTTACAGAGCGTGGCACTTTTTTAATTTTTACTCTTTTATTTTCTCCCCCATACTCTTGAGTTTCAGTGGTTAAGGCAGCCAGGCACTGGCCGTATATTAAATTCTGGGAGTGTCTCTCCTGCCAGGGAGAGGATTTGTAAAACAAAGCATGTTTTCCTCCTCCCTGCTGCCAGAGGATCGCTTTTCCCAAGCGACATGGGGAAGCGCTTCCCAGCACATTACGTTGCACTCAAGGAATTTGCCATTGGTTATGGATCGACGTGGAGCTTTGGCTGCTGCTCTGGGCTGGTGGGAGAGGGGAGGAGGAGGAGGAGGAGGAGGAACCCAGCAGATCTGAGCATCATCTGCACAGGGCAGGTGAAGAACAGCTCCAGGAATTAGATGGGGGAAGAAAGCAAAGTGTGGCAGTGAATGCCTGGGTGTGGCCAGAAGCCAAATGCCAAGGTCCAAGGTGTGGCACCACTTGCAAGGTGGATTCTCTGCCGTGCCAGCCTGGGGTGGGCA